GATACAAAATTACTGGTTTTCAGAGTCTACTTGAGCCATTTTTAGCCATTTCTCTTGTAATTTTACTCTGTAAACGAGTCACAGTCAAGTGAACATGATTTGAACCGCGCGCCAAAACAATAGAAATGTCCCGGATGTGTCCGCCTATTCTGTGCCATGCGAAAACTCTTGGAACATCTAAAAATCGAAACCATATTTATATAACGAATTGGAATGTCGCTGTTGAATGTGGGATGCATATGATATCTAGCATTGAGCATGCGCGCTGACGAGCATTGCTTAACTTTCGGATGTACGGGGAAGCACGGGTGGCGTAGCGGTGTAAGCGCTCGCCTCTCATCAATGCGATCCGAGTTCGAGTCCCGCCGGGTTCGGTGATGTATATGAGTAGAGTTGTTTGTTGGTTCTCTCCTGTGCTTCGAGGGTTTTCCGGGTTCTCCGGTTTTCCTCCCTCCGCAAAAATCAACTCCTAAATTCCAATTCGATCATGGAATGAGGGCCACAGGTTTGTTAGCCACTGGCTATTAAGGGCTACCCTCGTGAAAAAGGACGTTATGCATTTATATCAAAAGAATCAGGTAATATGCAGGTTCTAATGAAAAAATTAAATAAACGTCAAAACTAGACTTTCAATAAGTCAAATACTTATATGAAGTAAGCGAAATAAGCTTACACAATTTTATTGTAATGACAAGTTTAGATAAATTTGTCGGCCAGGTTTTAAAGACCTAGCATACTAGATTTATTTAAACATGTTATGGTTACTCTGATCGTTATAAATGGTATATCATAAAACTTGAATATATCAATCTATCTTTGCTCATTACAAAAAAAAAATTTGAAATAAGCTAAACGAAGTAGAAATCATGAAAGGAAAATGAAAGGACGATTGCTCATATTACAAGTTAGATTGAGCATTAAATCGAGCGAACTATTAAGCGTAAGAAAAGCAAAATCTCAGAAAAGCACAACTAGTATCCAGGAGTTCGCCAAAACGCGATTTGATTTGAACGTGTTCCTATGGTAACTCTGATCGTTATAAATGGTATATCATATAAAACTTACCCTGCGAGCAGAGATTCCCTTTTCTATTCCGCTAGGGCGAGAGGAAAAAGGAACCTCTGCAGGCACCCGCGAAATTACATCCACATTTCTGGATGTAAAAAACAGGTTTTAAACTGTTTTTTTTATTTACGTCATTTAGCGCATGACAATAAATGTCACCTTCCGCTGATTGTGATCGCGGGCTTGTTCTCATTTCAAGATGGCGGATGCACGTCTTAGTCTTCAAGAACTAAAGAATTCTGTGAGCTTCTGTCTGAACCAAATCGAAAATTCAAGTATAAGAAAGTTATTTAACATTAAAATTAGAATTTACTCCGCTTAACTTCAAATTTACACCACAAATTAAACTTTTCGCGGGAAAATTGACAAYGTGAACATGACGTTGCACATGTCACCTCGCGCATGCTCAACGCGATAAATCGCGTGTGCCGGCAGAGGTTCCTTTTTCCTCTCGCCCTAGCGGGATAGAAAAGGGAATCTCTGCTCGCAGGGTATATAAAATTTGAATCTATCAATCTATCTCTATTACCAAAAAAAAAAAAATTTCAAAGTAAGCTTGTCGGAAGCGACGCATTTCCGGATCAAAAATCGAAGGTATGTCACAAACAAAACCCAGTTGAGCTACTTTGAACTTTGAACTTCACATAAGCCGAACCTAATGACATAAAAGAAGATGGTCTTATTATCTATTGTTTTCAGTGCGTACGGCTCATTTGTCGTTCGACGTTTGACCTTAGGCTAAGGCTGCGTTTACACGGCACCGTACGGATTTTTAACCGGTTAAAAATGTAACTGTACATACCGTTTACAATGCACTATCTCTTTAATTGTATAAAACAATATGTTTTGTTTACACGGATTCGTATCGCTATGATAATGTTAGTGATTTTTCATCTGATTACGAGCAAAGCATACTGTTTATGGCTTGATGGATAAGTTGTTTAGACGGTACCGATCAATTTTTCATTAGGTTTGTCATACGCAAAGTTTTCCGGACATGTTACTTATAACATAACTAAGATTAACGCGTGATCTGATTGGTTCACCACCTATGAAGAACAAATGTATGGAGCACTCGTATGGAGCACGCTGGTGACGTCAAGTTGGTGAAATTCGGTGAAAATGGCAAGCATTCAGAGAAAACTAAAAAGACTACTAACTGGTCTACCTTTCTGTACATTTAAAGGTAAAATATAACTATTGATTTCATTTCCAAAAGAAGTTTATAGCGTACTTGTTTGAGCTCAAGTTTGGCTTACTAAAAAACTCGCCCTTCCACCGGGTGGTCAATTAGTTCAGCTTTTCTCGCGCAATCTGCCGTACAGGTCACCACAGCAGTCCAACAAAACACCACGATGGTTATTGAAGTCCAAGTAAATCCACTGATGCATTCTTACGACTCAGGTACAAAATGGTTAGGTAGTTTGTGATGCAGCCAAGCGCCAACGAAATCGCTAAATCGACTTCTCCTCAGTGAAACTACTTTAAAACTTTCTTGTGAATGAAAACTTTTAAGAATACATTTAAGAACTTGTTAGATTTGCATTGATTGACACCTGTAATTGTATATGACGATTGCATAATAAAAACACAAATACACCACGACTACTGGTGACGAGGATGGCCATATTGTAAAAATTCGGAAGAATTCTTCTTGAAATAATGTGAGATTTCCTTGGTTTTCACAAACGAAAATGGCCTTTATTGGAAGAATAGAACCATTCGACGAAGCTACAGAAACATGGAGTGCCTACATCGAGCGTTTGAAACAATATTTTACAGTCAACGAGATCAAAACAGCGAAGAAAGTTCCCGCGCTTCTTACGCTACTTGGAAGTAAAACTTATAATTTCTTGCGGAATTTAGCAGCCCCAGAAAAACCTTCTGAGCTTGATTATGATACCATCGTACACCCTTTGGAGAGAAAACTATCACCTAAACCGTCTGTAAACACTCAACGTTTCCGATTTCATACAAGAATGCAAGACGAAGGATAAATTATAAACGACTACGTAGCCTACAACTACAACTACAACTAAGGAAGTTGGCGATTCACTGCAACTTCGATAACCTAAACGACACACTCATAGATAGATTAGTATGTGGAATCCGTAATACCGGAATACAGAAAAGATTGCTTTCTGAATCTACGTTACCATTGGAAAAAGCTATCGCAATATCCGTAGCAATGGAAATGGC